GTTGGAATGGACCGCGGTTGTGACGAACAGGGCCACGAAGCTTTTCCCACGATTTGTGGCCAACAATTCTTTAAGCCCGGCATGGGCATCCAAGACTTCAGAGATGCTAACAGCCTTTGTTTAAAATACGCCCAGCACATCACTGTCCAAGGCATGGAGTGGCCGTAAGCCTGCCAGGAGCTGCAGGAAGAGACAGCCCGCCAGCTCCTGAAAAACTCCCACAACAGCCAATTCCTCTCATCCGAAGGAAAGAGAGGCCTGGCTGTGTTCATTGAGACGTCAAGACATAGTTGTTGAATGCCACATTGGGTTGGCTGGCATCCCCCTTAGCAGTTGGTCATCAGATTTGAGGCCAGGACCTTAACACCGACTGCTGTAAAGCCAGGTTTGCCCTTTTGCTAAGCCTGTCAGCTCTCAATCAGCTTCGCCGGACTTCCAACTGAGCAACTAGTATGTTCTTACAGAGAAGGTGCTGGCGGCATTGTCATGCAAGGCATCCTTTCATAGACTTGGTTGCCATGGCATCCCCAATGCTATACATCTTTCTCTTCTTCTACACTGGTGTTTAACACTGCAAGGAATGGAACTGAACCTGAAAGGGTTTTGAAATGTTTTGAACATGCCGGGTTGTGCTGCTGCACTATTAAGGCCCCTAACCGTAGCTCCTACACGTGCAGCTCGCAGGTTCGGCGAAGGCGAAGGGGGCAGGTTCCTTCACACCAGGCCTGATTCAACATCCCAAGCCTCCATGACTTGAGTGCGAATGCAGCTGCCATCTATGAAGACCTTGACAACCTCTGGTTCTGTCCTCCTATTATATTGGGGTTGTACTATATATATATATAGGAAACGAAATGGAAACTACTATCCATGCCATGAAGACAGCACGTGTAGACGGCCCACTGATTTTGTGATGTTCCTAAACCCTAAACTCTAACCCTAAGCCCTACACCTTAGTTTTGTGATGCTTGGCTTGCCAGGTCGTACTCTGGCCAAGTCGAACACAATGAAGTCCGTGAAGCAGGCGATTTTATCGGTGTGGGGGGATATCTTTTGCAGCCTTTGATGTTGATGAGTATTCTGCCTATATAAACCCCAACATGATATAGGAGTTTCCATTTTATTTTCCATTATCCCCAACATAACCCTAATATGTACTGATTGGCAGCCTTTGTCTTTATTTGCTGATTTCCTTGTGTGCCTGGCTGGGATTAGGGCAACCAGAGGCTGAACCCATTCAGATGCTCGTCCAGTTGAGCAGAAAAAGCATAGCAGGGCATAGCATGTCCGGTGGCTCATCCAGAGAAGTGTGTCGAGCCAGAACACGTATTCTGCACAAGGACAATCTATTGCACACATTTTGCAGAATCCAGTATATTCTAGTATATGACAGTATACTCTAGTATATGATAGTATGTTATAGTATATGATAGTATATTGTAGTATGTTATAGTATATTATAGGATTTGTATCAGCTGTATCACCACAACTACTCCGCAGGATGCAGTTCGCCGTATGAGCCGCTACTGGGCTGCAGCTGCCAGCATGTCTCAGCATGTCAGTTGAAGGCCCTACATGAGCTGTAGTCTAAACTCCTGGGTTTAGGGGTTAGGGTTTAGGGTTTAGGGTTGGGGGTTATATAGGGGACTACTGTGCGGCTTTGTAAGGGGGATACTAGGAGTTTAGACTATAGCTAACATTGTAGGACCTCAGTTTGTCGTGTCAGTGATCTCCAACCCTGATGACCCCCGTGATAGCAAAGTAACCGTAGCAATATAGCAGCCTCTTTCCACACTCATATTAGATTGAGTGATAATAGAATAGTGGCAGCAGCAAGAGTGTTAGTACTAGGAGTAGCGAGGATAAATGTGTGTGTGAGAGTAGTAGCAATAGCAATCGCAACTGTAACAATAGATATTCTGCACCCATAATATCTGATGTGGAAATATTGGAAACACATCCATGGTTCGCATGCCTTGCAGTCCATGCGCCCTCTTGATCACGTCTTGTTTTTGCAGGTCTGTCGCTAGATGAGCTTCGCGAGAACTATGATGCCGTCTTGGCCAACAACAGCAGCTTGAGCTGACACAGAGGGTTATTCTGGACTGTATGTTCGATCCATTCCAAAGATGTTCAAGAAATATTTCATCTCCGGGCCAAGGGGAAGAATCGTAGTATGTATGCTGCAGAACCACCTCGCAAGTTTCTTTCAACAAAAATCTTCAACTTCTGGGTCTGCATGGCCATGCTGAATGCCTCCTGAGCAAGCTGAGCCCTGAAGTCCCCAGCGGGTCAGCTGAGTGCTTTTATCCAAGACTTCTTCATGGCACCAGGTGTGGTTGCACCTCACCGGACAGAAACGGACCCTTACGACACCCCTACGCCGCTGTCGAAAGTGGAGCCTCAGATGATTTTGCGCAAAAGCCTTGTGCAAGAAGGCTTCCAATAGCTTGCCTTTGCCTTTGTGCTGCCTTGGCCAGGAGTAGCAGCTGTTAGCCTGGCCATGATAGAACACCTACAGCCTGTCCACCACAGAAATCGCCCAAGCATGACTTGGCCAACCTGAGCGGACTAAGGGCTGGATTCTGCTCGCCTTGTCTGGAGTCGTGGACCTAAGACAAGGCAGACTCTGGAAGGTTCTTTCGCATTGGCATGTCGTCGATGCGACTACGCTCATCGCACTCTTGTGCTACCTGAGTGCAGCTTGGCTGCACTGTCTGCAGACCCGACAGTCCCAGTGGCTGCCCATGGGCCTAGCCTCACACGCATCCTGAAGCTGCCATGGGTGCGTGGTGTGACACTGGTTGTTGCTGCTGTCTTGGTCAGTGCTCTGCTGGTGGTGCTGGTGGTGGCATTGCTCATGGTGCATGGTAGCAAAGTGTCAGCCCTTACTGCAGGCGATGCGCAGCGTTGCATTCACCCTTGCACTCGTTTGTCCACAGGCTTACGCAGAGCTTCATCACCTGCCAGCCTTGACGACAGCTTGCTACCTCTTCGGCAGCATGTTCCAAGGTTGCATATGTTGCATGTAAGGTAGTCTGGACCAGGCACACAGAACACGGCCATACATTCCCCAGTGCATCCATGTCGCCACGAGGATTGCGATTCTTGGGGTTCGACAGTCCGGCATCACCGCCTCTTGCCTGCTCATTTGTGTTCAGGTACAATTGCAGCTGGATGAGCTAAGCAGGCTCAAAGCCTAAGCGGCAGTGGATACGTTTGCCTGTGCATGCAACAGCGCCAGAAAAGTCACTGGCAATTGAGGTCATCCTGGGTCCTGACGAGCGGAGGATGGACGAGTACGCAGTGCCTTGATGGAAGTCACGCAAGATCCCATGTGAGATTTTCAAGCTGTTGTCAGAAGAACTGTGGAAGAACTGGATTTTCCTCGGCCGCGTGTCGGGGTACGGCCACTTCAGTCGACAAGAAACGGGCGTAGATGAGATTAGACCCTGGACACTTCTCATTGGGGCACCCTGCAAATAAGAAATTTGAGATGGGCTCAGGGTCTGAGCAGATTTCTGATCAAAAGGCTAGAGGGCTGCGAGGGCTGGAGAAGTTGGAAGGCGAGAGGAGCTGGAGGGGCTGGAGGGGGTGGAGGGGATTGGAGAGCGTTTCCTTGCTGCTGTGATTTGTAACCTTCGAATATAGTAAAGTGAATCTGCTACGCTTGATGGTTTGCGCTTTGAGCCCACCAGTGCTCGTTTTGTCACAAGTTGCACACGTTACTTGCACGAGAGCAGCTAGAGGCTGATTATGGCTTCACTGATGATTGGCGGAAGTTGTCCGCCTTTCGACTCGCGGAGGTGCCGCATTGCTGGTGCAACGTTTATGGTGTGAAAGGCTCTTTGTTACCTCTCAAGTGCCTGCCAAATTGACTTCAGAGCTAGTTAGGACCGAAGAAGCCGCAGGAGGTGTTCATGCGTAGGCTCTGGTGACCTTGCGGTACTTCTGCCAAGGTGTTGGCATTTTGGATTCTGATGATGCTTTGCCGCATTTTTGCGGCGTTCTTTGCGTCTGAGGCCTGCCAGAATGCTTGACGTTCATTCACCAGTTGCAGTTAAAGTGAGGGATGCATTTTTTGGTCCAGGGTCATGTTAGCTTGGTTCATCAGCGGTACAAGTTGCTGGGCCCAGCATGGCTTGCCCACGCGCAAAGGCCCATGGGTTCGAGAATGTGCGAGAACTCCGACGTATAGTTTGCAATATTGTGGCAATGTTCGTTCCTGTGACGTGACGAAGACACGTTCAGGGTCGGCGAGTGAGGAGTTGGGAAAGCGATGCCTTGCGTGGGTCTACACCTTCTGCTTGGGAATCTTTCTTTCAGGGAGGGTCGCGAAAGCGTCACAGGCAGGACCTGTGAGCCATTGGTGCTCTGTAACGTTTTGAAGTTCGAGGAGCGTCCTCATTTGAATGGCTCATTGATTCAGTGTTGCCTCCTGCAAATCTGGCTGCTGCAGAGTAGACCAGGGTAGAGCATGCTGCCTGGCAGGAGTTGTTCGGTAAGATTCGACCGAACATGTCTGGCATCGTGGAAATAGTTGCCCATCTCCTGTGGCTCGGACTGCTAAGCTCGAGGGCTATGTCGAGAAACACTGCTGAATACCCTAAATATGTTACAGTGCATTGTCTTGTCCATCGATCCGTTTGAGCTCAGTTCCACAGCAAGCTGAGCAAAATCCATAGAGCCCCAACAGTAAGTCGCTGGCCAAGGATGACGCTCCGGCTCACCGCAGTACCTTGAATGAAAGATTCCAATCAAGACCGCACAGGGTGTTCTTGGGGGCTGCCCTAAGTAGAATAGAGGATTTTGCAGCATAACACTTCAGCGCGCAGGTCGCGAGAGCAGGCGTGCAAGGAGTGGTTTGTGCCTATGTTGATGCATGTGAGTTGTGACGCGGTCATGGCAAATCCAAGGTGTGCTTTGCACATTTTCATGTGTGCTCTGGACTGGAACTCGCAATCGACAATTTCTGCTTGCGCCTGCTCAAAGAGCAAGACATGGACGGCGCGCTAAGTGAATGGATGCTTGACTGCGTATTGGCAAGTTAGAAGGTATGGTTTAATTAAGTGGGGAGCAAGCAGGCTCAGGCTCGTGCTTCTGCTTGGTCATGCATCTAGCTAAGCCAGCACCACAGAACGGCACATGGGAGTTTCTGCGCACCCTGACCCCTTAGAATGGATTCGCATTATGAAATGCAATGCAGAAACATCACGTATATTTGACACTGTGAAACGCTGGAAAAAGCTGCTTTCCAGCCTTTGCACTATGATCTTGCTTCCGATACTTGAATACACGAAAGGCTGCTTTTCCATAATGCAAAATGCCGCAATGGTTTTTCAATTGTGTGCAAGTGTAGGGTTCCCTGACAATTCCCCACAAATGCGATGATAGCTTGGCCTGCGACCTTACATTCCAGAGCTTTTCTGAAATTCAGTTTATTTGCAGGTTGTGAGTAGGGAGTCAAAGGTGGAAGCTAGCAATTGCACATGTTGTAATTCTGGGTGTGCTTTGCATCGTCTAGAGTCTAGAGTCCAGCATTGGATCCTGAAACTCCAGAAGCTCGCGCCTTCATGCGTCAAACAGACAAACTCGATGTGGTAGTCTCCGACGGGGACCTCGATATATGCCCCCAAATATTACAATCCTCACTACGAGGACCCCCAAAGTGGTACCCCTAATTTTGGGAAGGCCCCATGTTCCTGATGCTTGTTGTGCTGCAGGAATGTGCTGTCCGCAACGCTGAGGTCGGGCTGATATTTAGCCGGTGTGTACGTGGAGCGTCAGGGGGAGGTAGTAGTTGTTTGAGAACACCTGTACAGTATTACAAGCCATGAAATAGCCGTAGCTATCACCATCATGAACGTATGTACCCTAGATCTTGATCCAGATGACATGAGACTTCCCATTTTGTTCTCCATTCCTCACGAAGTCCCCCCCCCCCCCCGACCCTCCAAATAGAACCTTCAACCCTACACCCTAAACC